CTGGGCAGATTCTGCTACTTCTGTGTGTCCATTTCCTCAACTGTGGAGTGGTGCATTTATTGTTCTTGTCTCAAAAGTAGTTGTGAGGACTCTGAGATAATACAGTAGAGCCCTTGGTAAGTAAATGAAGTGTAGCTGTTGTTATTAACTCAGCCAGTGCCCTTTGCCTGACCTCCAAAGAACTTGCAAATTTCACTAGCTACTTCTGCCTAGTGGTGGTGTACGTGTGTTTTGGGGGCAGTTCATGATAGGATAAATATTTTTTTTTATTTGAAGGGGTACTATAATCTAAATATAGGAATTAAAAAGTAACCATGAAAGGTAAAAATCAAGTTATCAGATTTCTATCTGGTCTTTGATCTTTAGACAAGTTTAGAATTTTAAGGAAGTTTCACTGGACAGTTAACACTAGAACTCAGTTTTTATTAATCATTTTGTTCAGTGGTGTTTATTTTCGCCTACTGAATTTAGATTCTTGTGCGTAGGCTTCAAGAGGATGTTTGTTTTTCTAAATTCTTTGCTAGAAAGCAAAGATTAGAAAGTTGTAAGGAAAGATAGTTGAAAGACGTGAGGCGGCTTATTTAGGGCAGCGGCCTCAAGAGGGCCAAGGCCTTGGTAAGAATCTTGAAGCCATCAAGTCAAGTGAATAATATAATCTGAGTTCCAAATAAAAACCTTACAGTGTCTACTCCATGCCACTTAAAAATCAAATTATGTTTATAGTAAGACAGAGCACCAGATGGAAGATGTGGAGGAGAGGATTTAAGTAAAACATGTACCTAGACACAATTTGGTATTTCTCTTACTCATCTTTACCTCTCATGCACAGTTCAGACAACCTAGTTAAAATAAAATAAAATTCTTTTTTTTCCCTTCACTTATTGCTAATTTTTTTTGAGGAAGATTAACCCTGAGCTAACATCTGCTGCCGATCTTCCTCTTTTTGCTGAGGAAGACTGGCCCTGAGCTAACATCCGTGCCAATCTTCCTCTACTTTATATGTGGGATGCCTGCCACAGCATGGCTTGACAAGCGGTGCTTTGGTCCACACCCGGGATCCAAACCTGCGAACCCTCAGCCGTCGAAGTGGAGTGTGGGAATTTAACCACTGTGCCACCAGGCTGGTCCTGCTAATTTTTAAAGTAGGAGATAAAGGACTTTTCCCAGGCTTGCCCAACCACCCCACATCATGCAAGAGTAACTTTCTGCAACTGTCTGTGAAAGAGGCCATGGATGTGTCCGAGCTTAGCTCCCTATGGAATGAGCTGTCCAAGCATCTTTATTTCAGGCATTCATTGTCCAGGGCACTGACCGTATATGTAAAATGTGTAAGGGATTGTAAAATGTGTGCTGCATCCACAGTATCCCCCTTGAAGTTGAATTTCAAGAGGAAACCTGTCACCACTGTTAGCTTGTCTGTAGAGGCAGCTCCTAGTAACCTAGGGTAATGCAGATTAAATCATAGAACATTTGGACAGCAGAACATGGGACGATCTTATTGTCCACAGGATATCCATCGTGCCGTGGGAATCAGGCAATCACCCTGGCCAAGCTAGACTTAGAAAGAAAGGCTTTCATTAAAATGCTCTGAGCACCGATATAACCGTATATTCTAAAGTCCTCTTCTGTGAGTTCTATTGTGTTCCCAACATAATGCTCTAAACATCCACACCCACTAATGGAGATTGAAAGAATCTTCTTAGGTAAGACATCCTGCTTCCTCAAACTTACCTTTTGTCCCGCAAGATATTTAATTCAGCCTTGTCTTTATGAACTTTTGGATTTATGTGACATTGGAGATCCAACCAAAATTCCTGAAATCCTGTCTTTACTCAAATCTGGCACCTGTTCCAAACCTCAGAAATCAGAAATTATGCAGCAAAGATAGGGCAGCATCTATTCTTCACTTATCCGTCCATTGCCTTCTTTGGGGCGGTGGATGAAGGGATGCTGTAACTTGAGCTGTGATCTGGAAGTGTGTTGAATAAAACAAAGATGTTCTTACTCAGAACAAAGTATCGTGAAGGACATGTCCAACATTCAAAACCATGTTTTTTCTCCTTTAATTTTTGAATAAGACTGGCCCTGATCTAACATCTGTGCCCATCTTCTTCTACTTTATATGTGTGACACCTGCCACAGCATGGCTTGACAATCACTGCGCAGGTCCGCACCCGGGATCCGAGATCGCAAACCTCGGGCCACCAAAGTGGAACCTGCAAACTTAACTGCTGCGCCACCAGGCCAGCCCCTCAAAACCATTTTTACTGAGGCAGGATACCTTGGTTGCAAGTAACAGAGACTGCCTTTAGCCAACTTTATTAGTTTTCTAGAGCTGTTATAACAAAGTACAACAAACTGGGTGGCTTGGAACAACAGGTAATTCATTCTCTCACAGTTCTAGAGGCTAGAAGTCTGAAATCAAGATGTCAGCAGGGCCAAGCCCCCTTTGAAACCTGTCGGGAAATGATTCTTCCTTGCCTTTTCCTAGTTTCAGGCAATTCTTGGTGTTCTTTGTCCCGTAGATGCGTCATTCCGATCATCCGTCTCCACATGGCCATCTTCTCTCTGAGTATATCTGTGTGTGTGTCCAAATTTCCCTTTCTACAAAGACAGCAGTCATATTGGGTGGGGGCCCACCCTAATGGCCTTGTTTTTAATTTTATTACCTCTGTAAAGATCCTTTTTCCAAATATGGTCATATTCCAAGGTACTGAGGGTTCAGACTTCAACATATCTTTTGGGAGAGGGAGGACACAATCCAACTCATAACAACACCTTAAGCAAAAAGGGAATTTATTGGAAAGATACAAGGTGGCTTATTTAATTAAAGGAAGAGCTAAAGAATGAGGACTTGAAGGGACTAGAGCATGGCTGCCCCAAAGATCCAAGGAGCAAGAGCTACTCCCAGCCCCACCAGGAGGCTGCTGTGGGACCTCGGCTGACTTTCCCATCTTCGCATCACTCTGCATGATGTGCAGCGTTCCAGGAGAAAGTCTGATTGGGTCACTCCCTGGCTGGAAAAGTCAGAGTCCCATCGTTTGCTTTCCTAACAACACTACAGAAACAGGAGAGAGAATTCCTAAAGGATTTGGGATGTTATTACCAAGAGAAAGGGGGAAGGATGCTAAATGTACAAAAGCAAATGTCTAATCTAGGCCCTCTAGCAGAAAACGAGGAAGGGAGCAAAATATGAACAAAAAGTATATTTTCATATACTCCAAATTCCTCATTAACTCTGTGTGAATAATAAACCCCTGATGCTTATTAATATAGCCATTCAGAAAAATTTGCCACTCTGATACAATTTGCCTTTCTTATAAGTCAAGAACATGGAGGGAATTGCAGCTAATCATGGTTGTTTCCATTACGGAGTTCTCTTTAGTTAGATTTGGCTACCATGTCAGTTTTATAGATGGAGAAGATGAGTGTCTGAGTTAGCCCCTCTCCCATTCTTTGGTCTTGTTCCTTGCACTTTGGTCCAGGTCAGGACACTCACTGTCTCTCTGGCCACAGGAAGCTGCCTGGCACAGTGTGGTCAGCTGCTCCTTGATGCCTTGGAGGGAAGGGTATAGCCTCCCCTCCCAGCCCTGAGGCACCAAGATCCCATGCTTGCAATACTGGGCTCTCCTCGTTCCACCCTCTCTCCCAATTCATCCTACCACCACCTCTTCAAAGAATATAGCTATTGTTATGTTAGTTATTCTTTGAATTAAGAAAAGAAAAGAAGAGGTGGGAAAAAGTAACAAAGAGAACTGCATAAAATGAGGAGTATAAGGGGGTGGCTCATCATTAAATGGTATAAAATCTTAAATAGACTTAGCCTCTAGGCTGTCTTTTTGTACTTATTCTTTGACTCTTCCAAAGACAAGAAGCTGATAGACCTACTGCAGTATTTTTGCCTGTTGTCAAATTCCATAAACTGCCTGGGGATGAGAGTGGTGATCTCCAAGGATGGAATAACATGCGAGAAGCAGACTGGGACCTGGAGACTAGATCATGGAGTGCGGTAGAAGAAAGCTAGTACCATAGGCAGAACATGGACTCAAAAAAGGATGAACAGTGGTCCCATGAGGAAGATCAGACCCTGATAAATGGAGGTGAGGTGGTTTCTACCAGTGGTAGGAAATGATGGAACAGGAATATTGAAATTTTACATTCTTGGCATCAGAGAAACAATTAAATGGTCCAGCCCAGAAGTAACACATGTCACTTCTGTTCATGACTTATAGCCAGACCACTCATTTGGCCTGACTCAACCACAAGGAGGCCAGGAAGTGCATGTGCCCAGAAGGGGGAACTGGACATACTTAGCAAACAGCCATAATGAATTGCTCTTGTCAAAATGCAAACTCTAGGTCCCTCATCAACTCCAGTTCCCTCCTGATTCAGGGCATCCTTGGAATCTGCATTTTAAGTAGGCCTCCTCAGATGAGTCTGATGCAGAGGACCAGGGAAGAATCCCTGGACCACAATTTAAGGCACACTGACTTAGGGCATCACCTCAGTATAGACAGGTAATCAAGAAGACAGAGACAAATCTGAGATACAGTTTTTAGAGCTCAGATGTAGGGCCAAGGCTGGGCCACCTCAAGGTGTTATCAAAGAAGGCCACAGATGTCTGGACACTGAGGCCCGGGGGGCTGGACATGCCCAGGGTAAAATGCCCAAGCATGAAGATAGTGTTGGAACTGTGCCTGAAACAGATCAGACCCTCAAGTGTGCATCTGGCTTCCTTGGGAGATGAAGAGGGAGGTGGGGCCGACTCCAGGCAATGATTCTCAGGTGTGATCTAACGTTTCTATTTATATTAGCAGAAACTCATTGGCCAATATAACACTTTATTGTATAATTGTTGTTTTTCTTTCCTCTGTTGTTTTTTTGCTTCTCTCTTCCTTCTCCATCCCTCTTCTTCTCCCCTCTTCTCTCTCATCACTTCTTATCCCCCTCCTCCTCATTCCTTCTTTCCCATGACACCCACCCCTCTATTCTCTCTCCAGGTATTACGCCATCTGCTGCCAGCCTTTGGTCTATAGGAACAAGATGACCCCTCTGCGCATTGCATTAATGCTGGGAGGCTGCTGGGTCATCCCCATGTTTATCTCTTTTCTCCCTATAATGCAAGGCTGGAATAACATTGGCATAATTGATTTGGTGAGTACCCACGCAGACCCCACTGGTTTACTGTCTGATTAACTTTTCTTGCTTGGGGTTCTACATAAACAAGCAATATCAGGTTAGGCGGATATTCTAAGAAAGATTCTGATAGTGTCTAAGTGACAACAGCAACAACTAAAAAAAGCAGGCTAACATTTTCGAAAGCTTGCTGTATGCCAGAGAGTAGAATAAATACATATAATCCTGACAACATGCTTTTGGGAAAATTATAATTTTTCCATTCACAGATGAGAAAACTCAGGCTCAAAAAAGGTAAAGTAATATGCCCAATGTCACATAGCTAGTGAATAGCAGAACAGGTGTTCAAAGCTTAGCAGTCAGCCTCCAGAGCCTGAGGTATGCAATGTGCCGCAAGAGGCCTTCATCTCATTTCATGCTGCGAGTCTACGAGGCTTACAGTGACCCACGGAAAACCTGTGGGTGGAGGCTTCTAGAGAATGAAGAGTGCCCTGGGCCAGGAGTCAAGAGTACTGAACCCTGAGCCTAGCTCTGTCACTGACCCACTTCCTGAAGGGCTGTGTGAGGAGATCCCTTGGTCCGCAGTGGAGAATAGCATCTTCCAGTGGTGTAGGAGAACAGCCTGTGGCACGTGTGCCAGGCATTTGCCATCCCCTGTTTCGATGATCCTTAAGCGTCGTCCAGCTCTGACATACTACGTTTGTAATACCGGACTTGAAGATCAAAAGCTATGGTCTGGATTCATTAGCGGGAATATATGTTCTCTAGGAAGCTGTTAGGCAGTCACTTTAAAATTGATCTCAGGACTGTGTGGATATAGGAGGGGGAATGGAGAGGAGAGATTGAGAGCGAGCTCTGGCCCAAAGGGACCAGTTAGAGCAGCAGCTGCCCCTTCCTCTCTCCACCCCATTCCCAGCCCCTAATCTTGCCTTGTTCTTTGTCCAGGAAAGGATATCCAAACCAAGCCTGGGCCAGGATTGGCATGTGGTATGTCAGACCAAGAGTTCCTTGGGCTTCTGAAAGAAATGCTGGGGACAAAGGAGTGGAGAAGTGAAAGGGGGTCCGGACAAGGGAGACTGTATGGATGTTTTCTTGAATCCTATCCCTCTTCTTTCAAACTTTCAGTTTTATCATTCTTGGGGGAAATGAAATTCAAGTTTCCAACAGGCAGTAGGATAATAATAATAATGGCCACAAATGTGGAACATTTACTGCGTGCTGAGCCCCATGTTAATTTAATCACCATTATCTCACTCAGGCCTCACAACAGTGCTATGAAGTAAATCCCATTATCGTCCTCGGGAAATTGAGGATTAGACAAGTTAAGTTATTAGCCAAAGTCATGTTGCTAGGGAGTGGTGGGGACTATACCTAAGCCCAGGCTTCCTGGACTTCAGAGTCTATGCTCTTAATACAAAACATTTTCACTGAGTTCCACATACTAGCAACAAACAGGATTAAGAATTTTAACATGGTACCATTTGCAATAGAATTAAATATCAAATACTTAGAAATAAATCTAACTAAAGATGTGCTAGACATTTACATGAAAAATTATAAAATATTACTGAAATAAATTTTAAAAGACTTAAGTAAAGGGAAAGAATTACCATGTTTGTGAATTGAAAGACTTAACCTTGTAAAGATGTCAGTCTTCCTCAATCATTCCAACTCCAATCAAAGTCCTGGAAAATGTTTATGGGAATTGATAAGCTAACTCTAAATTTTGTGGAGGAAATGCTGAGATAGAAGAATAGCCAAACAGTCTTAGAGGAGGTGAGCCACAGCTTGAAGACTTTTACCAGCAGATACATTGTGTGCAAGCAGACGGGGAAGGGAGGAGAGGCTCACTCCACTATTGGTCGGGTAGGTAGAGTGAAGAATGATTTTGTCCCTGTTTTATTTCTACTCTTTCCTGGGGCCTTCAGCCCCTTGTGGACGGACAAGCCCTCTGAGCCTGGGATATGGTTATATTCCTTTTCTACTATCGTGGTTCTATGTGCTGTAGGCTTATAAGAAAATGAAAGCTTGGCTGATAAACCTTCTTCTTTCTTTCCTTTCCCCTTTTTGCTTATTCTTCCTTCCCTGTCCACCTCCCCTTCTTTCTATCTTCCAATCCCTCCTTTTCTGTTCTTCTTTTTCATCCCTTTTCTTTTCTTACAATTTTTCTCATTCCCTTCCTGCTTCTGCCTCTTTACTTTTTCCGTCCCTTTCTCCCTCACTTCCTCATTTCCCCTCTTCTTCCAACTCTCAGATAGAAAAAAGGAAGTTCAACCACAACTCTAACTCTACGTACTGTATCTTCATGGTCAACAAGCCCTATGCCATCACCTGCTCTGTGGTGGCCTTCTACATCCCATTTCTCCTCATGGTGCTGGCCTATTATCGCATCTATGTCACAGCTAAGGAGCATGCCCACCAGATCCAGATGTTACAACGGGCAGGAGCCCCCTTAGAGGGCAGGCCTCAGCCGGCAGACCAGCATAGCACTCATCGCATGAGAACAGAGACCAAAGCAGCCAAGACCCTGTGCATCATCATGGGTTGCTTCTGCCTCTGCTGGGCTCCATTCTTTGTCACCAATATTGTGGATCCATTCATAGACTACACTGTCCCCGGGCAGCTGTGGACCGCTTTCCTTTGGCTCGGCTACATCAATTCTGGGTTGAACCCCTTTCTCTACGCCTTCTTGAATAAGTCTTTTAGACGTGCCTTCCTCATCATCCTCTGCTGTGATGATGAACGCTACCGAAGACCTTCTATTCTGGGCCAGACTGTCCCCTGTTCAACCACAACCATTAATGGATCCACACATGTATTAAGGTGAGTACTTAGGGGCTTGAGAGAGTTTGTTCATTTGCATGACTCAGAAGAGTTAACTCTCCAGTTTTCTGTTTGCACAGGGATTATTCTTGAAACCCTGTGAATGTTTGCAAAGATTAAGGAAAATTCTACCATCTGGTCATGGAATAGTCATGGGTAAGGATTCAGGCTCTGGGGAAGGACTGACCTAGATTCAGATCCAGTCTCCATAGTTCTATGACCTTGGGCAAGTCATTTAACCATTCTGAACCTTAATTTCATTTTTTAAAAAACTGAGATCGTAATCACTATATCTCCATCCCAGGGTTTTTGTGAGGAACAAATTAGTCCCTGTACATAGAGCATGTAGTACAGAGCCTGACACCTAGTAAGCACTTAGTAAATATCATCTACTATTATTCACAAGGTAGTATTTTAGGATGGTGGTTAAAAGCATGGGCTTTAAGGTAAAATAGACTTTATTCTGACTCTCAGTGCCACTACTAACCATTTGTATAATCTCTCTTGGTTTTATTTTCCTCAACTGTAAAACAATGGTAACAATAATAATATCCATTTCATAGAGTTTTTGTGACAGAGATAATGTATTCATATAGGGCCTGAGACATAGTGAGCACTCATAATACTGCTAATACTCTTATTAATATTAGTAGGATTAGTAGTAGTAGCATCTTGCCTGATACTCTAAGATGGTCATAAAATAACATGATAGGCTGAAATAAATAGAACAATAAATGTCCAAGAGTAACGCCGTGTGCTAAGTAATGTAATGGAGATGAGGGCAATCTAGAATGGGGAGCTGGGTAGGAAAGAAGCTGATCTGGCTTCATGGAATCAGGGAAGGTCTCACAAAACAGCATTTTAAAAGAATTCGAGACTTGGAGGAGATGTCAAGGAAGCAATTCCAGGCAGAGAGAACAGCATGAGGAAGGAAATGGAATATGAAAGAGCCTGGAGAGGTCAAGCGATTTACCCAAGTCACACAGGTTGATGGAGGTGGGAATGGCTTTGGAGTTGAATGTTCAGTGACTGGTCATGATGCCTCTCTCTAAACCTGAGAATTTTCTAACTCCCCTGGGCTACAGTTTTTCTCAGCTGTGAAAAGCCATATGCGAGAGGTACATTCATCCTGTAGCAAAGATAAATTGTCAATGACATTTTTTTTCTTTGCCCTGAGATGCACAGGAATTTCTAAAGACTAATTCCTTCTTTGAGACAAACATTTAATTTTTCTGATGATGACAGTATTCAGTTGTTCTGGTGGCTGAAAATTGGGGAATTTTCATTTGCATGTGTAAGAAAAGAAGAGAAAATAGGAATTGCTATGAAATAGAAATGCTTTGCCTCAGAGGCTGCACAGAAGTATGGATTCAATTTTCTGCTACCCGTGTGGGCAGACTTGTAGCTACAGCCCAGTATGGTGTTGAGCTTCCAGCTGGTGAGAGGGCCTCAAAGGATACTCCTAGAGGCTGACATTCTCTCCTAATTATTTTGCCTTAGCAAGTGTCATAGAAAGGACCCAACCATAAAGTAAAGTGTGTGTACAAGAACTTCTGTGTAGGTGCTAGGTAGTTTTTAGCTATTTAAGCTAACAGTTGCCTGAGTACAGGCTGTCAACAACTCACAAACAGAATATGCTCCAGCAGTGCATTTGCTAAGTTTGTTTAGAACTGAGTGGCCTTTTTCCATAGAAACAGTCATTGGAAGAGTTTGAGGGTTTCTAGAGCAGCCCAAGAAATCCTATTTGACTCATACTGTACTGTTTTATCCTTGCTGCTTTTGGAAATCTGCAGTGTGATTATAAAGCAGAGATAGCAGTTTAGAGATGAGTATAATTTCTATATGTTGTTCTTCATACTTTGCATTTCTTCATGAGGTCATGAAAAATGCAGGAAATTGGTCTGAGGTATTTTTCTGTGGAGGTGAGGAAGCTTTAAGCGTGGGGGCAGCCTATAGAGAGAAGAGAAGACTTTGAAACCTGAATCCAGGGTAAGCCTCGGAAGGACAGGAATCCTACCTGTTTTTTTCACTGCTTCATACCAAATATCCAATATGTTGCCTGATCTATAGCAGGGACTTAAACTCTTGAATAAATGAACAAATCATACAATTAATTCTCCAGATCAACTGTTTTAACTGAACACAGCTGAAGAAAAATTCGTATTTTTCTTAAAAATCCCACAAATAGAACACCAACAAATTCAGATGAAGTCAAGAAGAATAAAACCAAAACAATCAAGAGTGAAATCAGCTTTTATCCCGCTAATCCTCCCCTAGCCTCAGAGTCAACAGTTAGCGCTAGTCTTTTCAATGCATTTTCAAGCATTCAGAATAATTCATTCATAGAATGAATGTATGTATGAATTGAATGTACGTATGAATACAGTGAATGTATGAATTCATGGACTTTTCTCCCTTTATTTTATATAAAGGGGGCCATTCTCTATGTACTTTTCTGCACCTTGCTTTTTATCCCTTAACAATGCATTTTAGAGATCATTCTACCTCAGAACATGTAGGTCTAACTCATTCTTTTTAACTGTTCTGTACTAAATAATCTTCTATACTAAAAATACATGTTAAACTTTACTTATTTCCCATTAGTGGATGTGTAGGTGTTTCCAGTCTTTCGCTATGACAAACTGTACTCTTTTGAATGCTCTTAAACACATTTCTTTGTGTCTATGTAGTATTTCTTTCAGGTAGCTAGCCAAGGAGAAATTGTTCTATTGACATATATGTACATTTAAAACTGTTAGGTTTACCTTAAAATTGACCTCCTAGAATACTGTAGTGATTGGCACTCTCATCAGCAGGGCGTGAGGTAGCTCCCACTCCTGCCCCTCGCCAACACTGAGTGTTATACATCTGTTTTTGTTTTGCTAATTTAAAAATGCTCTTTGATTTAATTTGCATTTCCCAGATGATTTGGAAGGTTGAACCTCTTTTAAATTAATTATTGACTGATTTAAAGGTTATTGATGTATATTTATCCTTTTGTGAACTGCATCTTTGTATGTTTGGTGCTTTATGTGACAACCTTGTTGTATTTTTTTATTAATTTCTGGGTGTTCTTTATTATTTTCTGAATACTAGTTCTTTTTATATAATTTGCAAGTGCATCTCCCCATCTTCTGCATGCTTTTGAACTTTGGTTAACTTTTGTCGTATAGAAGTTTCAAATTTTGAAAGCACTATTCTTGTTTGACCTTTTACACTTGTCCCATCTTCCTTCTTGAAATGTTTTCTGCATTAAGTTTCCTGAACAGCATACTTTCTTGGTTTTCCTCCTAACTCACCAGCAACTCTTTCTTAGTATCGTTTACAGGTTCTTCCTTCTCTTTCTGGCCTCTGAATGTTGGAATTCTTCAGGGCCTGGTTCTTGATACTCTTCTCAGACCACATTCTCACTTTATGTGATTTAACCATCCATAGCTTTAAATACCATCCTCGTGCTGTTGACCTCTCTTTAATTAATGTCTCCAGATCATAGCTGTCTTCTGAGCTCCAGATCACCACATCCAATTTGCTTCCTTGACTACTCCATCTAGGTGCCTCTTAGGAATCTAAAATTTAATGCATTTAAAACAGAGTTCTTCTATATCCTGCCCCCTAACCACGAATGGCCTGAATCTTCCCTGTGTCCATAAATGGAACCATCATCTACCATGTTACTAAATCTACACTCTTTTCTGTGGCTCTGAGGAAGAATTAACGTTAGAAGACAGACTTAAAGATTTTAAAAAGAAAAACCACTTGGCTGGTATTGAAAGTATGGAGTTAAATCGAGGTAAATGTAAAATCTAGCCATGGGGCAAAATATAAATCACAGAAATGTAGGGTGACGCCTGAGCAAATTTATAGCTGCTTGTGTAAAATTTGGAATTTGATAGCTGTGGCTTCATTCTCTTCATCCAGAGCATCCATTGGCAAAGTGACAGGTCACTAGGGACCTCCTCTAGGTTATTAATCATAATGATTATGATTATGATGCCTAATGTAACTCCAGAAAAGAGTGTACAAGTTACTGTATTTAAGAACTTTGAATACATCATTGCACTTAATTTTTACAACAACCAGAGAAGTTGGTATTATAATTATTATCGTTTTAGAGATGAGGAAACCGAGGTTTAGAGAGGGGAACTTGCCTGAAGTCATACAAATAGTAAACGATGGAGCTAAAATTCAGACCCAAGTCTTTCTGACTCCAGAGTTCAGTCTTGCCCAGGCCACATAGAGTCAGAATTGGGGGTTATCATTTCTCACATTTATCTTGACTCTTTGGATAAATTTGGGGAGCCATTTATCAGTCTATCAACTCTGCCATCCTGCTCATGTTTCTCTATCTTGTCTACGAACCATGGAAGACTAGAAACTTGTTGAAATCCAGGCATTTTTCAGTTCCTTTTCTAAAAATAAAATAAGGTTAGAATAGATGGGCCTATTCTTAGTAATCTCATGTTGATTCCTATCTCTGGGTTCCCAGTGACTATTCAAAGAAATAATTGGGGCTGGTCTGGTGGCATAGTGGTTAAGTTTGCATGCACTGCTTTGGCAGCCTGTGGTTTGTGGTTTTGGATCCTGGGCACAAACCTATACACTGCTCATCAAGCCATGTTGTGGTGGCATCCCACATACAAAATAGAGGAAGATTGGCACAGATATTATCTCAGGGCCAATCTGCCTCACCAAAAAGAAAGAAAGAATCAATTTAAAAGAAGTCTACCTCAGCATTGATATTGAACTCTTCCTTCTATAGTTTGCAGAGAACAAATCCTTTTCACATTTCTTCAATTGGGGCATTTGTTCTTTTCTACTTTCTCTAGATGGCAATAGCCTGCTTACAGTACTATTTTTCATGGCATTTGTGTTGCTTTACACTATAGAATTCCTTATTTAACTTCTGTAAAACCAAATATTCCTTGAGGGTAGAAACTCTGGCTTTCTCTTCTCTATGTACTATATAGTCTCACACAGTGTCTGCAAAGGAGTAGATGATC